AAAAAAAAAATCTGGTTTGAAGCCCAAATATTTTAGAAGAAATGAAACGGAGGAAAGATGGCACCTTTTGCCCACTGCATAAAGGTTCCCTTGCTCTCAGAGTGGTTTCTCTCCATCCTCGCCTAGTGGAGGATTTTGTATTTGGTTCAATGCTTGCTGACTTAATAGACTAAGAAAATTCTTTCAGGAGGAAGAGTGAGTCACGCGATGCTTTCTTTGGGAGAGAAAGCCCTGAGATTAATCTTTCCATTAGGGGCTTGGAATGTGTTCGGCATTTTGATTGATGGCTGAGCACTGATAAGCTTTCCCAGCAAGCCTCCACCCTGTGTCCTGTTTGCTTTTGTCCAGTGTGATGGCGGAGGCCCTTTAGGCTAAAAAGTAGGATTAAAGAGTCCTGTGACTTTATTACCCTGAGAGACTAGTTCATATGATGTCATATCTTTTTAAAGATTTTTTGAGTTTGCAACAGCTTTTGGAAAAGCTTCAGCATTTCCTGGTCTACCAGATCTATTACACAAACAAACCACAAAAAAAAAGGTTGAGAACATTTGGTGCTGAGAAAGGATATACTAAGGGTTTGGCTGTTCTGGCCTTCTGCACAGCTGTGGTGTGCAGAGTGCCTTCCTCTGACCTGGCCTTGGATTTCTGCTGCCGCACCTCCCCTGAAGACACCGGAGTTGGGGCTCTGCTCCGCGTTGAGCAGGAAGAGGAGGTGCCTTACTCACTGGGGAGGCGCGGTCTCAGTAGGGTCTTACTGGGAGGTGGTTTTGGCAGCAGTGTGAGTCACCTGTTAAGTATTTTCTGGTAATGGTCACAAATGATTTGGCTGCTTCCTACTTAAAGGTTACCCTCCATAAATAACCTTTAATTAAATGGATCATTTGTTCTGGCCCTACAAGTTTTTCTGGGCTGCCTTCGGACTCAAAGCTTTTTCTTCCTTTGCGCTTTTGGGATTGGTAGATCACATTTTTTAAAATTCAAGATGGCAGGACAGGGCTGCCAACAAAGACAGGAAGGGCAGGGCTATGTTAGTTTGTTTCATATCCTGAGTTGATTAGTTTCCCTGAAATGTTTACACAGAATCATCAGCCACTGTTTTTTCAGACTTTGTGTACAAAGCAGCTGTCTCAGATGTGCCCACACCGGGTCAACCATTGCATCTCAAGAACATCACAAATTCATTATTTAAAGTTCTGTCTTAGCTGGATGAGGTAACACATGCCTGTAATACTAGCACTCTGGGAGGCTGAGGCACGAGGACCCAAGCGAGCCCAACTTGGGCAGTTTAGCAAGACCCTGTTTCAAAACAAAAATTAAATGAGTTGCAACTCAGCGTGAAAGCCCTCCCTGGGTTCAGGCTCCAGTCCCTTGTACCACCAGGGGGAAAATAGTGCTGTCTCAGCTGGAGACAGTGGCACATTTCTGTAATCCTAGCTACTTGGGAGGCTGATGCAGGAATATTGCAAGTTGGAGTCCAGCTACCAACTTAGTGAGAAGCTGTCTCTGGATAATATTTCAAAAGAGGATAGAAGTATATAGCTCAGTGATAGAGCACTTATCTAGTATGCACAAGGCCTTGATTTTCATTCTGAAGGAAGGAAGGAGGAAGTCAGTAAACTGAAGGACAGCATCCAGTATATTCTGTTTGTGTAAAAAGGAAGTCTTATTTACTGAAAAAGCAGTCCATGTCATGTGCAGCTGAAATAAAGTGAGTTTGCATTGTAGATGGTAAATATTATGTGCATACGCTTAGTGCTTTAGATGTAGTGACTTATGCTGTGGTCTGCATGTTTCTCCCCCACCATTATTTTGAGTTGGAGTCACCAGTGTGGGTTTAGCTGGGCTTAGGAAGTGCCCTGAGGACAGAGCCCTCGTGAGAGGTATTAGTGCCCTTGTAAAAGCCGCCTGGGAGAGCTGGAGGGTGCCATCTGTGACTCAGAACGGACTCGCCAGACCCTGAGGCTGCTGGCCTCTCCATCACCTCTGAGGAATAATGTTTATAAGCTGCCCTACTGGGCTAGGACACTGAATACAGTTTTTACAACCAGTTTTTGGTTGTAATTAGTGTGGATTAGAAGCATAACCTTGTAAAAAGGAAATAACCTATTAGACTCTTTCTCCCCGCCCCCACTGTGCATCCTGCTCCAGTGCCAGCATCTCAGACCCAGAGGTCGTGGCTTGGGGTCACAGCATGCTCTGTCACAGGACACTGAGGGGCCCACCACACTAAGTAGAGGCCTCTCTGCCTCAGCCTTCTCCATCTTTAGGGCTTCTCAGTCCAGCAAGGAGGGAGCTCAAGGCTCACCTTAAATAAGAGTGTCTGGGTGCTTCAGCTTCTACAGTCTGCAGGCGGAGATCATATTTAACACTGCTTCTGGTTAATTCTGAAGCTAGATCCAGACAGAAGGAAAAAGAAATGTTGATTTGAATTTTTTTAACCAAAATAAATTGAAGCAGATACTTAGGAAATTATTGGATAGTGAACCATATCCCGTTCAAAAGATTACATGGAAATTTATCAAGAAGGAATATTTTGACTATCTAGTATGTATCGACATTAAAATATTTTGTTTGAAAACAAATATCACAAAAATTTTTTTCAGCATGAAAAGATGATGAGACTCCCAAACAAAAAAAAGTAGAGGCAAATTTAATACTGGCATAAGGGAGAACTGCACTGGCCAGACACAGGTTTTTCAAGGCAGAAGAGGCTACAGTGTTTTATATAGGATTTGGAGAGAGTATAGAATTTGAGTATTGGCCATGGTGGGTTGACTTTAGCTGAGAAAGTTGATTCCGATCAGTTCGCTGTCAAGAGCGATTGGGTGGCGCACACCTGTAATCCCAGCACTCGGGAGGCTGAGACAGGAGGAGTGTTGCAAGTTTAAGGCCAGCCTGTATTATGAAGTGAGTTCAAGACCAGCCTGAACTGCATAGTGAAACCGTGTCTCAAAAAGACCAAAAAAAAAAGGCAATTGGAGTCCATCTCTTCCTGATTGGCCGATTTTCAGAGTTGACTGATGGTGACTGGCTTGCAAAGGCAACTTGTTCATCAGTTTTTGGTGGCTACTTATTACCATGGCTACAGAAAAAGCAGTCTTTTTTTTTTTAAAAAAAAAAAGACCAGGGTCTCACTCTGCAGTTCAGGTTGTTCTTTTTTTTTTTTTTTTTTGTCTTTTTGAGACAGGGTCTCGCCAGGCAGTTCAGGCTGGCCTTGAGCTCACTTTGTAGCCCAGGCTGGTCTCGAACTCACAACAATCCTCCTGCCTCAGCCTCACAAATGCTGGGATTACAGGCATGCGCCACCACACCCAGCATGGAAAAAACAGTCTTTTCAAAGTTTGTGGACACTTTTAATTCTTAGTATTAACTCTAAGTATAATTACTTACACAAAAGCAAGCATGTATTTTAAATATTTTTGAGATGTAACAAGAGTAAAGGGAGAAAGTCTTTTTTTTTTTTTTTTTTTGGTATCGGGAATTGAACTCAGGACCTTGCACTTGCCAAGCAGGCACTTGTACCACTGAGCTATATCGCCAGCCGGAGAAAGTCTTAAATGTACAGTACAGTGAATCTTTCGCATCTGTATGCAGTAGAATACTTGCCACCCATATCAGACAAATAGCACATTTGGTCACTCAGAATTTCCCCTGGTTACACTGCCTGATCAGGACACCTAGCAGCCATTTTGATTTCTGTCCCCACAATGGCAGATTTATTTATGTCAGTGGGCACTGATCGTGATCACTCCCAAAATATCAGGCCCTGATCTCTGGTGGTGTAGGGCTTATATGGGATAAGCAAGCAGGAAGTACAGAGGCAGAATGGCTTGTCAACTGGGGATTGGTTTATACAGTGTGCATCATAGTGACCAGCTGTCCATCACAGGGACCAGGCATTTCTAAAGGACAGGAGCAACCAGAACTGGAACAGGAACCAACAGACTGAAGTATACCAGTGGGGGAGGGGGGCATTTTCTGTTACACTTCAGCATCGGAATATGAGACTGTAGCACACGATAGCCCAGCTGACAGACAGGTGGTGGAGCCTGTAAAGACGTAACACATGATTTGGCGTGGTGGTCACATGCAAAGTGTGAAGGAAACAAAAGTGAATGCAGAGATGGCTTGACCCAAGGGGCCGAAAGAATGCAGTCACTGCCAGTGCTGGGGAGGGGGCAGCAGCAGAGATGGGGAGCAGCTGAGGCATGCATCTTGTGTCTTGTGTTTAAGTGTGGAGTTCAGGAGCGAGGTCAGACTGGAGGTGTCAGTATGTGCAGCACAGAAGGAACGGAGGGACAAGGCCCTGGAGCTGTCCAGCATTTAAAGGCGAGAAAGGTGGAAACAGCCAGCAGAAGAGATGGGGCAGCCAGAGAGAGGAGAGGCCAAGAAAAACCAGGCCCCCAAAGCCGCATGGGGAAGTATCACCAGGTGCTGCTTCTGATAGGACTTGTGACCAGAGCTGAGAGCCAGCTGACGTGTGGCTCCACGCAGTGCAGGTGCTGCCAGCATTACCTGCAACAGGGGGAGGGGTGAGGATGGAAGCCAGGTGGAGAAAAAGAGGGGAAGTAGCTATTGAGTCTAGACAACTTCTTAGGTGTTTTGCTGTGAAAGAAGCTAAGAAGTAGTGTGTGGCAAGGACTGTGAGGCGAGGGAGTGCGTGCTTTGGGTGTGGAGGTGCAGTAGTCTGTTCGCAGGTGGGCAGGATGTAGTCCAGCAGGCACAGCACACTGCTCAGGTGCTCATTTGTGAATGCGTGGGCGTCGTTTCACAGTCGTGGTGCCAGGGAGTACAGCTGCAGGCATGCAGGTTGCCATGGCTGAGTACAGCCTTTGAGCCAGGGTTCGCAGAGTGAGGGGTAGGCAGTGTTAAAGGCTTGAGAGAAATCTGGTCAGCCAAGAAAGTGGGAGCGAATAGGGCACAGCCCTGGCTGGACCCTCTCTGATGTTAGTGGTGGTAAATTTCAAGCTACGACCAGTTCCTATGTGTGTTTTTTTCAGCTTTATCTGCCTTTCTGGTGCTGGTGAGAAGCAGAAAGGTTGGCTTTAACCAGAGTTGGTGTCTTTGCCCGAGGAGTCAAGAAAAGGTCAGTGGAGGTGTGCATGGATTGGTGTTGACAAGACTTCATGTGTGCTTACCTTAAAAAGTTTATTACATTGAAAGTCACGTTGCAATTAATTGTCCCCAAAATATACTTCTTACACACTTAATTCCATTATTCTTGCCATTTTCTGAAGCAATCCTGAGAGTCTTCTTTCCTGAGTGTCCTTGAGATGTGATAAAAAATACGGTGAATGCTGCTGCCATCCAACAGAAAGGCAGCTTTAAATATTATGGGATGTCTTCGTCGAGCTTATTCACAGATCTTGCACAGTGAAACTACTGGCTCTTCCCCAAAGTTAAAATGACCATGATTGCTAAACATTTTGAGTTGACTCAGGACATCGAGGCAGCCATAGCAGCACCATTAATGACACTCTTTTTTTTATTTTTTTACTAATGACACTCTTAAAAGAGAACTTTGTCAAGTGCTTCAGAAAGTGATAAGAGTGGTGGGATAAATGTATTTGAAGCAAAGGGGGGGTTTGAGGGGGATTAATGGCAATGTATCTTTCACTGTAATTTTTTAAAAATTGAAGTACTTACCATATTTTTGAGCACACTTTATGCAGGGTGAGACCCTGTCTCATAAAACAAAAAACAAAAATGAGAAACACATGGAAAAGTTTTCCACTAGGATCTATCTAATGAACTAGTGAGAGTAGAAAGGAAGTGGAAGAAGAAATTTGTTAACACGTAATGATAGAGGTTGGTGTCCACAGTACATAAAGTGTGTCTCTAAACAAGCTACCCAGGATGAAATTGGGCAGCAGAGTGTTCCCAGAGTAAGGAACACCACTGGTCAATAAACATAGGCAAAGCTGCTCAACTCCATTGTAATTCAGTAAAACGTAAATCGAAATGCCAGTGAAGTGCTACTGCATGTCTACCAGGAGGGCCGCCACTAGGACTTGGTAATGCCCACAGTTAGTGAGGAGGAGCAGCCTGAGTTGTCATACATCGAATCTTCTGCAAGTGCCGATGGCTGTATCGCTTTGAAGAGAGTTAGGCATTACCTGATGAGGTTGAGAGCGAGTGTACCCTTTTCCAGCAGCTTCATTCCCAGCTTTGGGCCTTGTAGAAACTTGTGACCTGTGTGAGTTTGAGGCCAGCCTGAGCTACATAGTGAGTTCAAGGCCAGCCTGAACTACATAGTGAGATCCTGCCTCAAAAAAAATACATATATAGGTGTATATATATATATAATATATATTTAAAATATATGCTTTTTTTACTTAACATTATCTCTCACCTTCAAAATTTCTTGGTTGTGACAAAGAAATTTTGTGTGGGGGCTGGGTACTGGGGATGACTTTTGTAGAAGATTCGGTGTGTGACAGCTCAGGCTGCTGCTCCTCCTCACTAACTGGGCATTACCGAAGTTCTAGAGGGGCCATCCTGGTAGACTTGCAGTGCATTTCGTTCTGCATTTTACTGAGTTACGATGGAGAGCGGAAGGGGCAAGGGGGCAAGGGGAGACAGGGAGGCTGGAAAGAGTCGTGCTGTCCACTGTGTGCAGCTTCCCAGAGCGAAGCCCGCCCGCTGTTCGGTAACACTCACACGTGCACACGCACGCACCTCGTGAGAGAAATATTTTCAAGTGTACATTTTCAAAAATGTTTTCCCCTCGGTGAGAGGCGGCTGACTCTTCATGGGGTGCCCAAGGGTGAGACACATGTGCTGCAGCAGGTGGTGCTGGAGCGCAGCCTCTGCCAGGACGCAGGCCTGCAAGGAGGATTTACTTCGGCTCACACTGCATTGTGACTTCTCTGCCCCCAAATTCAGTGACCAGAAATTCTAGACCCTAAATCCTACTAACCACCTGTTTTAATGCACTTGAATTGCATTCCCTCCTTTTCTGCCCAGTTGATGATTTTGTTAACAAAAGACAGAAAAGTAAAGGCTGGAGAGGTCTCTCGAGGAGGAGTGTGCGACAAGTGAGCAGAGACAGGCAGGGGAGGAGCAGCTCACCAACCCTATGATGTACTAGGTGCAGCGGGTGAGGTGGCGTAAAATGTAAATGTCTTCTTTTCTTGTAGCTTTAAGACAAAGCAGGAATCACTTTGGACTGCACTGCACCGGAAAATCCGGGTGACGCCCCCATTGGAAGCATGGCTCTGCCATTCCGGAAGGACCTGGAGAAGTACAAGGACCTGGATGAGGATGAGCTGCTCGGGAATCTGTCCGAGCTGGAGCTGAAGCAGCTGGAGACTGTTCTGGACGATCTTGACCCCGAGGTGCGTGCTCACTGATGAAGAGGAGTGGTGGCGCTGCACCCTGGGCGCAGAGCTGCCGCTGTGCAGCTTCCTCAGCCTTCCCAGCCGGCTCTCCCTTGTACTCCCAGAGCGGTGGGCTCTGCACGCCCTCCCCACCCACTCCTGCCTGCGCCTTCATGGTGGGGCTGAGCGGAGCTGCCTCCTGTAGACTTGCAGTGCCTTTCGTTCTGCGTTTTACTGAGTTATGATGAAGAGCGGAAGGGGCAAGGGGAGGCTGGAAACAGTCGTGCTGTCGAGTGTGTGCAGCTTCCCAGAGCGAAGCCCGCCCGCTGTTCGGTAACACTCACACATGCACACGCACGCACCTCGTGAGAGAAATATTTTCAAGTATACATTTTGTGTTTGTCTCCTGTGTCTGTCTCTTCCAAGGGTTCCCATCGTGGTAGCAGACCTCTTGCTCCTCCGTGCATGCTGTCTCCAGCTGTGCCAGCACAGCTCAGCACCCCGCAGTCTTCATGGCCTAAGGTCTCAGTGTGCCCTGCTGAGAGGTGCTGAACCCCTGGCGTCACTTCCTGCTATGCAGCAGGCAGCCATGGAGCAGACTAGCTCACAGCGCTCTTATGTCCCGGTCCCTGACGGGCCTGTCTGAGCTAGAGACTCCCATTCTTGGTGTACCCAGTTGGGTGGGCACTCATACCAAGCCTGCTGCATAAGGATGGTGCACAGGGGCACACACACACCCCACCCCACTCCACCCCACTCTGGTGCGGTCTTCCGAGCACTGTTTGGAAAGTGAAAAGCAGTGCTGTGTGGCTGTGCACCATCTGGGGGCTGAGCCATTGTGAGTCATTGATGTCTGTCAATGTGCTCTGTGTTTTCAAGTGGCTTCTATTTGTTGTGTATATTACCCAGGCTACAGTAGAGACCTCAGCCCTTGTGCTGTCACCCAGTGTTGAGAAGGAGCTGTCCGGGAAAGAGCCTGAAGGTGCCGAGAGTTCCCCGCACATGTGTGTGCCCAGATGTTGGCTTAGGCACCCTTTCAGGATGGAGGGAGCGCTGTGTGTTTTGTTTCCTTTGGGTGCAGGAGATAAACTCAGGGTGAAAGCTGTTTCATTTCCATGGTGAGGTATATTACTACAACAAAGTTCCACTACAAGGGAGAAACATTTATAGTGGCAAGTTTTTTTTTCCCTTTTTGGTTTGTGGTACAGGAGGTTGATGGAACCCAGGGCCTTTGCACAGAACAATATCCTCAGCCCTTTTCAAGATGTTTTTTTGTTCGTTTTTCTTTTTTGTGACAGGGTCTTGCTGGCTTGCTTGGGCTAGGCTCCAATGTGGGATCCTCCTGTCTCAGCCTCTCAGAGTGCTAGAAATACAAGCATGTTCTGCTGTGCCCAGCTTTGTGTGTATGTGTGGTTTTTTCAGTTATGATCTCTCTTTACGCAGCCCAAGTGGGCCTTGAACTCTGTATGTAGCCCAGACTACCTTCTCCAAAGTGCTGAGATGGCAGGCATGTGTCACCATGCCCCACTAGAATTTGCTACTTTTTTTTTGGTTTGTTTTTTGAAACTGGATCTCAACTATGTAGCCCAGGCTGGCCTCAAACTCATGATGATCCTCCTGCCTCAGCCTCCTAAATGCTGGAATTATGGGCATGTGCCCCCATGCCTGGCACTACTAGAGTGTACTTTCAGTGAAGCTTGGTTCATGGATTTCGAGGTTCTAAAACCAGTTAGCTGGCATTTATTTTATGGTAAAACACTGTTTTGAAGGGCCCAGGATTTTGGCTCTTCTTGTGTGTGTTGTGGGCATTGAACCCAGGGCCTTCACACTGAATTACATCCCTATCTCTTTTCATTTTTCATTTTTTCTTTTTATTTTGAGAGAAGCTTTTCCTAAGTTGCCCAGATTGGGCTAAAACTTGGCATCCTCCTGCCTCACCATCCCAGAGGGCTGGGAACACAAATGTGCACCATGCCCTGCTCATGTAATGTTTTTTTTGTTGTTGTTCTTTTTTTTTTTTTTAAGACAGGATCTCACTATACAGTTTAGGCAGGCCGTGAACTCATTGTGTAGCCCAGGCTAGCCTCAAACTCATAGTGACTCTCCTGCCTCAGCCTCCTGAGTGCTGAGATTATAGGTTTGCAGCACCATGCCCAGCCTCATGTAATGTATTTATTTATTTATTTATTTATTTACTTACTTACTTACTTTTGGTCTTTTTGAGACAGGGTCTTGCTATGCAGTTAAGGCTGGCCTTGAGCTGACTTTGTAGCCCAGACTCTCTCTTTTTATTTTTCATTTTTTCTTTTTATTTTGAGAGAAGCTTTTCCTAAGTTGCCTAAGCTGGGCTGGAACTTGGCATCCTCTTGCCTGAGCCTCCTGAGTGCAGGGATCATGGGCTCATGTAATGTATTTTTTTTTTCAAGTAATGTATTTTAAAGCTATATGATTTCACATGGGCTTGAGGAGGCAAGTGGAATAGTACAGCTCCATCCCCACTACCATGGAATGCATGCTTTCTGGATGGAGAGGAAAATGACTTTTTATTAGTTTGTCTCAGTGAGCATTTCTATCCAGTAATATCCTGGAATCTTCATTCAGTGAGTGTCAGGGGCCACCTGTAGGCCCCAGGTACTGTGCCAGGTGTAGGATGCGAGCATGAGCATGCACCAACTAGATGTGCCCCTCCTGATGCAGGCGCTGACGTCTCTTGGTCACTCCAGATCTGAAAGAGGGTGGGTGCTGTGAGCTGGGGGAGTTAGGATGAGAGGTCGGGAAAGGCGCTGCTTGGGGAGTGGAGCCACAGTCCTTAAAGTGAGGAGCACAGAGGGTGGGGGAGCGAGGGCGGGGCTGCGTCCCTGAGGCCTGTGGTGCAGGGAACTGACTGGGGGGCCTGCCAGGGATCTGAGGGAGGCTGAGGCGAGGTTACGGGGTGGAGAGGTGGGGAGGTGAGGAGGTGAGGCCCGCAGATGAGAAAGAGCCAGTGAGGGCTGTGGAGGGCAGGGATGACCCTGAGGGCAAGTTGACCTGCGGAGCCAGTGGGATGTCTGGGAAGCTTGGAGCGGGTGATGGGCTGGAGATGGCACAGCGTGGCCGGCCGGGTACCTTAGGAGGTAAGAGTGGAGTGGACCCAAAGCCGAGTGGGAGTGGCTGCAGCTCTTATCTTGATTTCATAGTCACAGTCGGGGGCAGAGACTGCGTGTCTCTTTCTTTTGGTCCCTGTAGATAGCTGAGTTTGGATTATCATACTTGGTGCAGGGTTAGGGACAGACCTGTGGTCCCTCTTTAGAGGTCCGCTTGCTGTGTAATGAGTGCCATTAACTGCAAGAAGACACAGGTAAAGTTTATGAAAATCATTGTGGATATTCAAAAATGGCCAAAGTTGAAGGGCAGTGGTTTCTACTTATAAAATGAACATTTCCAGTTCCCATTTGCCACATGCAGTCACTCGTTGTAGTGAAAAATCATTCTGTTCCACTTCAAGGTCCAGCATCACTGGCGGTATAGGGGGTGCAGAAGAGCTTCCGCCCTTCAGTGACTGCTCTGGTGCCTCACATCTGTCGAACAAGGCAGTGCCCACTCAGATGAGGCCAGGCAGTGGCACCTCTGGCTTCTGATGAGAACCGGTGCTTGCTTTGTGCCGTGGCCCCAAGTTGCTCCCAGTGCAGGGATGGTTGATAGGGCTCCAGAAGACAGTCTAGCCCTCCTCCCTGACCCCACTCTGCCAGCCATGCCCTTCAGAGGCTGTGCCCCACTGGAACCCAGGACAGGGCTCTTGCTGTGGCTTGGTGCTGGGGGGTATGCGCAGTGCTGATGGGAATTATTGCACAGACAGATGAGCAGCACATCGGCGAGAGCTTCTGTACAGTGGTGAACAAGTCAGCATTAATCTCCTGGATTCTCGACACTGTACCTGTCTGTCACGAGAGTCTGAATGATTAAATGGCAATCATTACATATAGTTGCTTAAATTCTTTGGTTATAGAATTACTCTACTTATGTATATGCTGAGCAGTTATTAAGCATTAAGAAAAATTTTTATTATAGTCCTTGGATATTTAAAAGCTAAAGGATTTTTTCTGCTAGTAGTATATTTTCTGAAGAAAACATATAGGTACCCATTTAATAATGTAAATGAATTTTACCAGATTTTTAGAAAGAAATGTGTTCAGAGCCCTTTTACACCACTGCTGTAGAGTCTCGTGCTGTGGTGTCCAGTGCCGTGTACACTGCAGTCTAGAACTCTGCACGGGAGTTCTGTGGGCGTGCAGGGTGCCAGCCTTCGGTGGTTGTAACGGCGGATTCACTCTCTGGCAGAATGCCCTTCTGCCTGCAGGGCTCCGGCAGAAGAACCAGACGTCCAAGGCTGCTACCGGCCCGTTTGACAGAGACCACCTCCTCTCGTACCTGGAGAAGGAAGCGCTGGAGCATAAAGACAGGGAGGACTATGTGCCCTACACCGGAGAGAAGAAAGGTAAGCCCAGGACTCTGAAGTGAGGCAGCAGATCCTTCTTTTTATACACAGGCATGGAGACGATCCTGTTTGGAGAGGTCTGTCATTGGCGGCATTTAGACATGTGGCAGTGTTTATGTCGTTTTATTACGCACTGATTTTGTGCAGTGCTCCCTAGTTCTCTGTTGTTGGAAAAGTGCTGAAGTAAATTTTTTAAGTTCACTAGTATATTACAGAGGACAAATGAGCTAAAGCTATGTTCAGTACTCTTTTTTTTTTGAGACAAAAGTTTCACTATGCATTTCAGGCGGGCCTTGAGCTCACTTTGTAGCCCAGAGTGGCCTTGAACTCGCAGCAGTCCTCCTGCCTCAGCCTCCTGAGTGCTGAGATTACAGGCGTGCACCACCTCCCGGCCTCTAACTCCTTTCTTTAAGTGGAATGCCATAAAATGATTCATGTCTGGTGTGGTGGTACACACCTATAATCTCAGTGCTTAGGAGGCTGCATAAGTTTGAAGCCAGCCTGGGCTACATAGTAAGTTCAAGGTCAGCCTGAACCACATAGTGAGACCCTGTCGCAAAAAAAACAAAAAAGTGAAAAACGATTGATGTCATGTTTTCAAGGTGCCTTCTAAAGGATGCCCTTCGTTTGTACCCTTCTTTTGTAATTTATGGCTGTAATTGCTGATGTACTGACCCTTTACTTTCAGGACACTTTTCCAGCCCAGCTCCCTCTCGTTGCAGTGATTGCTTAGGTGCCCACACTGGAGACTGAGTGCGGCTGTTACTTTGAAAGTTCTCTGTGAACTGTTGCTTAAAGAAAATGGCGTGTTTCTCAGCTGCCCAAAGCTTCAGAACACAGCTGGGCTAAAAAGCAAGTTATTCTGCCCGCTTCTGTGGAATGGCGAGTAGGACATGGGAGGAAGGTGGCCCCAGGCAAAGCCGAGGACTGGCTTCTGCACAAGCTGTTTACATCTCATCTGCTGTGCCCCAGGCGGGAGGAAAGGGTTGGATCATAGTGCTTTATCCTAGGAGATGGGGGCTTCCTATTTGAGGATGCCCTGCCCAGGAATTTTGGCCAGAACTGTCTCCTGGCTGCCCTGTGACTTCAGGAGCAGCTAGCAGGTTCATTTTAGAATCCAGCCTCCATAGCAGAGGAAGGTTAGTGAGTGAGTGCTAGTAGGTTACCCATGACTTCTGCATCAGGCTTTTTCAGAATCATCTGTCACTCCTTGCCCCTTCTCCTGGTCTTTCTTTAGAGAAAAGTGGGTATCCAAAGGCAGTCTGCAGGCAGAAATCTGTATCAGGTAGAAGAGGTCAGTCTTTGCTGAGATCCCCAAGGGCCAGATGAAGCCACGCCTGTCCTAGAGAATGACCTGCTTTATTCACAGTCTCCTGGTTTAAAGTTAGAGCCGCAAACCCATCAACCGAAGCACACAGAGTGGTATTTGGCCAAATGTCCTAGCACTGAGTTGCTCTAGAACATCAACCGTCAAGTGCTGCTACAGACGGGAACATGGCATCCCTCAGGTGCATGGAACCAAAGGAGTGCTGAGGGCTAGTGCCCAGATTTGAAGTGTGCTGAGTCACAGAGATAGGCAGGGGCTCCTTGTTTTGTGTTTGCCAAGGAAAGACTGCAGGTCATACTTGCGTTTATGCAGACAGACCTGGAACGGGGTTACAGCTTTCATCCTGCATACGTGGGAGAACAGTTTTTTAAGAACAAACATTGGTGTTCAGCCTTTATTGTTCTGTATAGTCCAGGTGACTTCTACGGTATATCAAGAAAAAGTAAAAATAGGGGAAAAGAGATCATAAAACTCAATGGAATTTGAGGAGAAAAAGAGGAAATAAGAGGTACAAAAGAGCTGCATCTGTCCCAGGTTAACCTGGGGAACTTCCTAAAGTGCTCTTCTTGCTTTGTAACTCCAGTTACCTAGGAAAACACTTACCCAGGCAACCATCGTTGCCTGGTGACTCAAGGTTTTGCAGGTGGCTCTCCTCCTAGCACCATGGGATTCCTCTTGGTCTGCTGGATGACTCTCCCCGGCTCAGGTGCTTGTGTGGAGCAGCGCTCTGCTAAGATCCCAGGCAGCCCACCTCCTCTCTGCTTCTCTGTCCTGCACCTCCTGACCACCTCGGTCTCTCCGGACCTCAGCTTTGTCTCCTGAGCTGAGTTTGGTAGGCTCTGCCTGAAACCCTGCTCTGCATTTTGGACCTTTTTTCTAGGCAGTGAGCTAAGCAGAGACTTGTTGGGCTCATTCATATTCAGTCAGTCTCTGTCTGTCTCTCACATCCCTCAGGGATCACTGTCTGCGTTGCCTTAGGAGCAGTTTCTTGGTGGTGTTCTGTGTAGTTTGGCATTTGGGGCTGTTCTGTTCGTCTAAGTAGATCCTTCTGTACCATCTTGGCTGGGAGACACAGGCACCATCTTTGCCCAGCTAGCAGGTTGGCGAAAAGTCACTAAACCTGTATTAAATACAGGGTGTTTATCAGTGAGCAGATTGTGGTGTCAAGCAGCTGTCATGTGTGTCATGGGTAAAACAAAAACCAAAAACAGTGCCCCTCGCCAGCCTGGCTCCTCCCCTAGTTCACTGGGTTTGAGGTGTGGGTGCTTCTGTCAGAAGATCTGTACCAAAGCCCCCGAGGTGACAGTGACACCATTACTGGAATCACTTCTGAACAGGGCAGCCTGTAAGCAGCAACGTTAGCTATATGAGTGAACTGAACTTGTTCGGGCACTTTTTATTTTATGTTTAGTGGGGTGGATCTGTGGTGAAGGTCATCTTCGCATTCTCTGTCACTGTAACTTGCGTGGAGCAGATGGCTGGTGCGGGGGTGGGGCCCTTGCAGCGGTTGTCAGCATGGTGACAGAGTCTCTTACTGCTCTGTCACAGTCACAAAGGCCTTAGCAGGATAACCCCCACACACATACAGTGGGTTTGGATAAGTGCCATGCATTGAACTTAGCACTGAGTTCTTATCTTGGTTTGTTCTGTTTCCTTAGCCGCCACTTTGTAATTGCAGAATCATTACAGAAATAGTTAACATGACTCCTGAAAAAGCTCTGTCCCCATTTGCAGTCAGACTCCATTCCCCACCGGGAAGCCCTAGGCAACCACTGATCTCCTTCCTGTTTCTGTAAGTTTGCTTGCCTTGGGCAGTTCTTATAAATGGAATTCTACAGTATGTGTGTGGGTCTGCCCTCTGTCACATAGCGTAGTGTTGTAGTTGCATCCACGTTGCTGCATGTGTCAACATCCACTTTGGTGTTTTCCTCCTCCCGTGTGTGCTGGGGATTGAACCTAGGCCTTGTGCCTGCTGAGCATTCGCTGCACCACAGAGCTGCACTCCCAGCTGTTCGTTCCTTTCTAAAGCTGAGTAATGTTCTCTCACACAGCGCACCACATTTTAACTGTTCATCAGCTGCCGGGCAGTGGAGTTGTCTCCACTTTCTCATTGTTATAAATAGGCTGCTAGGAACGTTTATGTACACACTGTTATGGTAGACGTGTTTTCCTCCCCTTGCGTATGTATGTGGGAATGGAATTCCTGGGTCATAGAGTATGTTAGCTTTTCCTTGCTGGGGCCAAAATACCCAACAGTGTACAGCTTAAAGGGTTCATGGTGCAGAGGCTTTGGTTCATGTCAGCAGGCTCTACTGCTCTCAGGCCTGTGGTGAGACAGAGATTGCAGCTGAGGGAAGCCGCTCACCTCAGGGCTGCCAAGAAGCAAAGAAAAAAGGAGCCAGAGAAGAAGGGGCCAGGGGGCAGGAGCGCCCTCCAAAGGCCGTGCCTCCCCCACCAGTGCGCAGACTCATCCCAGCTTGTCAGCCCCTTGCTAGGCCCCGCCTCTGAACATGCTACCCCGGGCTCAGGAGTGCCTTGGCTGTAAACCGTTGCCCACGGGGGCTGTGTTGTGCACGAAGGGAACTGCCACACCACCTTCCAAATGTGTCCACAGCAGTTTACATTGTCAGCAGTAACATATGAAGTTCCAGTGTTTCCATACCCTTGCCAGCACTTGTTGCCTGTCTTTTTTATTATAGGCCTCCTAGTGAGTGTGAAGTGACATTACATTGTAGGTTGTTTTTTATTCTGTTTTCATTTGCTGTGCTGGGGATCAAATCCAAGACCTTACACTTGCTAGGCAGTACTCTGCCACTGAGCCATAGCCCCTGCCCCTTACTGTAGTTTTGGCTTGCATTTCCCTAGTGACTAATGCTGTTGAGGGCTTTACGTACTACTGTTGGACATCTTAATATTGATTGTGTTCTCCTTTTATTATTGATTGGTAAATATTGCTTATCTTTTTTCTTTTTTTTGAGACATGGTCTGGATATGTAGTACAGACTGGCCTTGAACACATTTATGTAGTCCAGGCCTCAAACTCAAAGCAATCCTCCTACCTCAGCTTTCTGAGTGCTAGCATTACAGGTGTGTGCCATCACACCTGGCTCCATATATACATACGTGT